CCCGTGGTGGCCCGCACTGGCGGTGCGGCCACCCCCATGCACACTCGGGTGCCCTGCCCCTACTGAAAACTTTGCATCCCTCCCGGGACCAAACCCCCTCTTGTTCTGCAGGGGCCAAGGCCAACCACGGAGCTAGTGACACCTGCCCCCTGTCTCCCCCCTGCACACCCCATTCTCCTCGGTGGAGGGGACACCCCTGCCCACGTGGGACCAGCGTGGGCATTGGGAGCCTGGTCTAGCGAGATGGGTAGTGCTGTGCCTACTGAAAACTTTGCATCCCTCCCGGGACCAAACCCCCTCTTGTTCTGCAGGGGCCAAGGCCAACCACGGAGCTAGTGACACCTGCCCCCTGTCTCCCCCCTGCACACCCCATTCTCCTCGGTGGAGGGGACACCCCTGCCCACGTGGGACCAGCGTGGGCATTGGGAGCCTGGTCTAGCGAGATGGGTAGTGCTGTGGGGTCACAGACTGTTCCCCCTCACCCAGGTGACAGACTCCTCCGGCCACCTGTTCTACTCTAAGGAAGATGCCAAGAAGGGCAAATTCGCCTTCACCACAGATGACTATGAGATCTACGAGATCTGCTTCGAGAGCCACGCCCAGACGGGTATGAGGGGTCACTCCTGGTGCAGGGATCCTGCATCCTGCCCGGTATTCCTCCCACTCTGCAGCTCCCTGCCACTTTCTTTTGGGGCCTTCTGCTTCCAGCATGACCAGGAAACTTGAGATCATGAGGGAGATCTAGTGGTTAGTGTGATGGGTCAGTGCCCCCTCAGGACTGTTACCTGATGAGTTGAGGCCCCCCTGAGCCTCCTTTCCCTGACAGCCTGGGCTCTCTGTAATCCTGTCTTATTGAGCCCAGCTCTCCAGCCTGCTTCAACTGAGTCACAGGGACAGGGCCATACCTTCAAGGCTGCAGAAATATACTAAGCAGCACAGGGTGAAACCTTTTCCAAGCTCTCAAGTTCACAGCCCCTCTGGGAGCTGATCCCTAGATAAATCCGTCTTAAGGTGCTTAGAGACCTATGCAGTGTAAGCTCATGAAATTCACTGTTTCCCAAGGTAAAGAGAAAGATGCATAGATCTCTTGCCACTGCGCCCCCACCCCCCCGTAACAAATATTTGCTGGTTCTATTAATAAACAAAAGTTATTTTATTAAATATAAAAAGGATTTAAGTGGTCATAAGAGCACACAGAACAAAGTAGGTTACTAAGTAGAATAAAATAGAACATGCAAGCTTAATACACCTAAAAAACTAGTTACATGTAATATCTCACCCTAAAAGTTGTTCTAATAATCTTCACAGACTAGACATCTTTCCAGCCTGGATCTAATTCTTCTCCCAACTCAGACTTAGTAGTTTTAGTAGGGATGTAATATTGTAGTCGAGTAATCTATAAGCAAAAGCTTATAGGCTAATGCTATAGACCAGTGTTTCTGAAAGTGTACCGTGGAAACACTTTCAGAAACACTTTAACTGGCCACCCCGATTTGTTTATATACCGGCGCCGCGGCCACGGAGCCTCGCGGCTCTCATTGGCTCCGTTTCCTACTTTGCAGCCAAGGGGAGCCGTGGGACGCCAGTACATAAACAAACTGGGGCAGCCAGTTAAAGTGTTTCTGCGGTACACTTTCAGAAACACTGCTATAGACCCTCACCTCTTGCCAGTAAATTTTTTTAGCAGGCTGGCCAGCAGACCAGCTCAGTCCCAGCTTGCCACGGGGTCCTGGACCTACCCCCGCAGCAGCTCTGCATTTAAAGTGTATTAGGAGCCAGGCGGGCAGTCAGCCCAGTTCCAGCTGGTGCCGGGTCTGGGAGCTCCCGCTCCTCCCCCCAGGACAGGGGCTACCTGGGAACTATAGAATAGTGGACTAACGGATAAGAATTCATGAGGTTAATCAACTATTCAATTAACCGATATTAACCGATATTTAATATCCCTAGTTTCCAGCAGTCATCTTGGATGGGGTAGCCAGGGAGAACAGGTGACCAAGATTACCACTCTTAAATAAGTTTGGCAAAAGGCAGGAATCCATTGTGTTCAGTCTAAACTTTTCCTCTGCTCTTGTAGAAAAATACAGCATCCAAGATGGGTCCCAGCATCAGGAGACATGGTCACATGTCTTGGTAGGACCCACCATAGCCCTTCCTCCAAGACTTACAGGAAAAACAAGTCTTTTCATTAGGGATGTAAAAAAAAGTATAAAAATAATAACCGTGTAATCTATCAAAATTCCATCAGTTACACAGTTAAAAGTGTTACCTGGGCATGGAGGGGCAGAGAGGGAAGGGGGCTGGAGGGCTGCCAGCTCCTGGCCCCGTACTGCCTATTAGAGTTAACAGGAACAGATAAGCATCATCTTATCGGTTAACTGGTTAAACTCTTACATCCCTACTGTTCACAGATCATTGCCCTGAGTATTGGGCCATTAAGTTTATTGAATATTACTAATAGTTTTCCTCCCTTAGCATGACTCCATAGTAATGCAGGCTTATACTTCATATTTCTCTCTTCAAACACAGGAATGATACATGCACACAAATGGGATACACATTCAGCAGATTATAACCTTTCCATGAATTGTCACGTGAAGTATTTTGCATAAAGCATATTTTGATTACACAATATTCATATCATAAGCTTATTTTCCTATAGAATATGGAAAGCAGTGTCACAGTTAGGGTTGAGGGAGGTGCTGTGGGCCAGGACTATTGTTGCCTTTAGGAGGGGAGTGATGTCTGATGTCTACAGTGGGACAGGTTGAGAACCAGGGTTCCAGGATTCTGTCTCTGACTGGGAGGGAAGTGAGGGAGAAGCTTTTCCCTCTATAACAGTTATAGCTTCTTTCTCTCGTGCTTTCTTCCCCAGGGGGTTTCCGAGGCCCTGACCAGCTGATCATCCTCAACGTCAAACATGGGGTTGAGGCCCGGAACTATGAAGATGTGAGTGTAACACTCTCTTTAAGTCTCCTGCCCTCTGCACCTGCCCCTCTGTCCTGTGTGTGATGGGGAATGTGGGGCACTAGCAAGCTCAGCCCAAGGACAGATGTAACAACATCCACCCAACTGTTAATGTATATCCATCTCTGCTAGTGCGTAAGAGCCAGAGTTCTGAGTGTTTTCTGTATAAACAGCACCTATTCTACAGCCCAGAGGCAGTTGCATCTCAGTACCGGGTGAGGGATCCCTGGATAGACAGCCCCTGGGCCCACCCCAGACATGGCTGTGTGTCAGTGTGGGGTGGAACTCTGCGTCTCATTCCCACTGTCCTCATTTCTAGATTGCCAAGGCAGAGAAACTGAAGCCTTTAGAGGTGGATCTGCGACGCCTTGAGGACCTTTCTGAATCCATTGTCAAGGACTTTGCCTACATGAAACAGCGGGAGGAGGAAATGCGGGACACAAATGGTGAGGATGTGCCCCCTGTACTCACTAGACCTCACTGTCCTCTCAGGGCTGGAGGCATTTACCTGCCTTGTGGTCCCCTGTTCACTCCATCTTTCTCTTTCCACAGAGTCCACTAGCACCCGTGTGCTCTACTTCAGTATCTTCTCCATGCTGTGCCTGGTGGGCTTAGCCACCTGGCAAGTTTGTTATCTGCGTCGCTTCTTCAAGGCCAAGAAGCTTATCGAGTGAGCAGCCCCTGGCTTGTGTTGCCAGCCTCACATGTTGGCTCCCTTCCTGTTGGCCCTAGAACCCACTCCGACTCTCTTGGCTCTAGTGGGAAGTGATGCCTGCACTGGACGTGTCTGCCCATCAGGAATGGATTCTGGGGAAAGAGGGAGTTCTGGCCCCTCGGTGGAGATCCAGAGACTCCCACATTTAAGGATCCTGTAGTCAGCAGAGGATCCAGCAGTGAGGGTGCTGCAATCGGGGGGATTGGGTCATAATTATTTTAATAAATAATTGATTGGGATGCTGGCTTGATAGCATTTTGTGAGGAAGTCGGGGGCATCTTCCACCCACCCTGTCCCTGACTCCAGTGGGAGCACCATCCCATCATGCCCCTGGGCTTGTCCTGGAGAGAACTGCATCCTATCTATGTGCTACCTTCTGGGCTGTGGCATGGCAGATGAGTTCTGTCCCTGGCTCAGGGTGGGGAGAGGGGTGCTGCATGTGAAGAAGGCTGGGGTCAGGTTTGCTGTTTCAATTCCTGGCTCTGCTACTGATCCTGCTACAGGATTTGCAAAGGGTTTGTTTGCAATCCCTCTGCTTTCCCCAGCTGAGCCTGGATCTGGACTCCTCTAAAGACTCTTTTTAACCCCTCCCCTCTACCTATACTCTTGCCTCCACTCTAAGGCTACGTCTACACTGGCATGATTATCCGAAAAATTTTCCGTTAAAATCATTTTCGGAAAAGCACGTCTAGATTGGCAGGATGCTTTTCCGCAAAAGCACTTTTTGCGGAAAAGCGTCCGTGGCCAATCTAGACGCGGTTTTCTGCAAAAAAGCCCCGATAGCAAAAATGGCAATCGGGGCTTTTTTGCGGAAAACACTACTGTGCTGTTTACACTGGCCCTTTTGTGCAAAAGTCTTTCGGAAAAAGACTTTTGCCCAAACGGGAGCAGCATAGTATTTCCGGAAAAGCACTGACGATCTTACATGAGATCCTCAGTGCTTTTCCGGAAATTCAAGCGGATCACTGACCTCTTTTGTAGTCTTCAACATGTATGAAGACTATGAGGACCATCTTGATCTTTTCTGAAAGCTAAATTTGCCCAGTTTTCCTTATAGATCAGGGGTTCTAAATCTTTTTTCATTCCTTCCCTTGGGTGGTAGTATTAATCATGTTGAGTATTTGGTTACCATTAATCCTTTTATTGAAGACTAATGCAAAATAAGATTGAACACCTCAGCTCTCTTGCTATTGTCAGTTATTGGCTCTTCTTTCCTGCTAAGTCAAAGTTCTACACTTTCCTTCATCTTTCTCATGCTCCTAATTTATTTAAGGAACTACTTCTTAGTCCCTTTTCTGTCCCTTGCGAGGTATAACTCATTTTGTGCCTTTGTCTGAAGTTTGTGCTGTTTGTTGTACTCCACCTTAGCAATTTGTTCCTGTTTCTACTTTTTGTAGAATTCCTTTTTTTTTAATTGTTCAGGTGATGAAATTGCTTCTGAAGGAGCCATCATGGCTTCTTGCTGTTCTTCATATCCATTGCTGTTGTATCTTTAATATTCTTTCCTTAAAGTGTCCTGAACTTTATTCTTTAGATTAGGGGTTTGAAACCATTTTTGAGTCAGGGGCTACTGACCCACAGAAAAATCAGACAGGGGCCACACACAGGTGAGAAGCAAAACACACAAACCAACCCCCTCCCCTCGGCCCCAAAAAACCACAAACCTCTCATTGACATGGCCCCTGCTTGAGAAGCAGAAAGACACTCCTCACATTCCCCTCGCACACCACAGTTTAGGATGGCTAGTAGATTTTGTGTGCTCTAAGCCAGTGTTTCCCAATTTTATTTGGCCATGGAACCATTTTAAACTCGAAAGAATTTTGCGGAACCCCTAATAGTCTAATATATGGAGCTGAAAAAGGAGAGCACAAATAAGTAAGAATAATAATGCCAAACAAGGTCACAAGATCAACATTTAGTTTAATTGCACATACAGGCAGTCCCCGGGTTACGTACAAGATAGGGACTGTAGGTTTGTTCTTAAGTTGAATTTGTATGTAAGTCGGAACTGGTACATATTGTAGGGGAAACTCTAGTCAAACATTTCTCCAGAGCTCAGTTTTATTCTCCCACACCTCACTTCCCTCAGTCCTTTATTCTCAAGCTGAGGAGTCTGCTGAGAAAAGCTGCTCCGCGTCTCCCTGGTCTGCTG